TGAGTTCACATGGATATACCCTTATCTCCACCAATATACCCAAATAAACCGATTTGCGTGTCGACTAATTCCTAATTGTATAGTTTTGAGAATTCATTTCAGAGAAAGAAACTGTTAAGGAGAAAAAATTCCTCAAAGGACATCTCCCATGAGAAAAAGACAAAGTAAAAGAGTTTTACTATGTTTAGACACAATGGTGTATACGTACAAGTGAAGATATCTCCTTGAGACATATCGGACATATGGATATAGAGTAAAAACTAAGAATCATGCGTTTCCCACAAATTATAAAAACCGTAGACTCCCATAGATAAAAGTTAGAGCTATATGAGTTAAAGCAAAAATGAGCAGTGAAGACTGCATAATATGAAGGTTACAGCATTTGGCAAGCATATCGGCGTTTAAAATAAAGCTCTCATCGCCGGCTTTTTGACGGGAGTTTTCACTTCGCTAACAAGTGTCTGTTGGGTGCTTTGAAGACGTGTTAGTTCGTCTTTCACAAACTTCTCCAACGTTGCGTAGTCATTTTCCTCAATTCGTAGATATTTCTTCCCCGCAATTTCAGTGAGAGTAACCAAGCTCGGTACAATTTCGCATAGAAGGGTCACATGTTCCAGCAACAGGGCTAAATTAGGATTTTCGTTTGAGTGATGCGATGGAAACTGAGTAGAGAAAAATACTGTATTTTTTCCTCTCCTTTGTTCGATTAGCATAAACATACATCTATTCATTGACGACTGACTTTTTGTAACCTGGTCGCCCAGAACGTTCAATTCCATGGACCGCACCTTTTTGAACGCATAGTACCTTAATTTGAATGATGCAAAAGGTGAGCCATAGTAGATATTGATGTGAAACCTACGTCGTTATGCATCTCAGTAAACCATGAAGAATTCTTTGCAATAGCTCCATTCTCCTATCAATCGCTGGGTCACGCATGCTCTCGGCAGCTTTCTTAGCTGCTTCTTTAGCACGTATCTTCAGATCAGATAGCAATATATAGCATATCAATTGTTTATTGAAAATACGAGTTCATACCCTTTCAAGCAAAGACATCGCTCCTTTGGGCTTAGACGCTTGTTTTTCAGCGAATTGACG